ACATGACTTGAACGGGGTTCTGGTGTCTCCAGGCTAGTCCCGTGGTGCAAAATGTGCTTTGACCTCTGGCAAGCAAACCCAGCAGTTTTAGAACAGTGGGATTAAGGAGAATGAAGGGCCGCGAGTGGTTGAAATAAATCAGTCTTCCTTGGCATTTTATTGGAAGAGATTTTAAAGCCAGGACTTGAGTTATTGTTGAGAAGGAAGCAGAGTCTGAAAAAGCCACGTGTCCCCTTGTAGGAAGAACCATTCAGAAGTATGACTCCGTTGTCCTGTGCAGCCTTTCCCCAGCCAGGCACCCATCAGATACATTGGACTATAATTCCCATTTTTGCAGCCAGCGTGGCAGTTCATATCTGGTTGGGCACAGAAGAGTTACCATCCTGTCCATTCAGAGATGCAGATTTAGGGAAGGCTGTTTGCAAACCCTAAACCATTCCATTTTTACAGTAGTAGTATGGTTGTCTAGTTGCTGCTAACTTTTCATATATCATGTAACGTGGGTTTTGTGTGTCTTCAAATACTAAACAGCGAGAGCAGATGTAATCCGAGTCTTGTCATCCTTGTGTCTGTGAGCAAATCATCCGTGCAGAAAGTTGCTTCTGCAAAGCTGGCTACCAAAAGCAATAGCCCAGGTGTGTTGGACTTCAGATCCCATGATTCTTAGCTAGTATGATCGAGGCTGTGCTGAATGGGAGTTGTGGTGGTTGAAATCCTGCACAACTGGAAGGACCTGGTTGGAGAAAATGATACAGCCTTACTGAATGATTTATATAGGCCTAATCCTGTTTTTTTTTTTTATAAATGATGCAAATATCTTGGAAATCAATTAGTGGAAGCATTTTGGAACTAGAAAATCATGATTATTGTAGGGCTGTTTTTAGGTTCTGTTTGCTACTCTGCTCGGAATAGCTTGAAATGAAGCATTAGCATTTGGGGCATTATGGTAAAATGTGAATTAGTTACACTGAAGCTAATCGTATTCATTTAATTTAGCTATTTATTAAAGCAAGTTGGCAACAACTATACACAGACCTTCAAGACTGATTAACAAAAAAAATTGGTATGAAGACTTTTGGACTCATTTATGCAGACTTTTGAATCTAAAATATTAACTTTTCAAGAAACAACAATATTAGAAGGATGAACGAGGAGCAATAGATTGCATGCTTGCTGTCCCATAGGAAAGTGTTTAAGAAAAAAAAAGATAATGAACATCATTGCAGTGGCATTTTCTTTAATCTACTGCTTTGTTTTTGAATAAAAATATATAATGAAAGACTTCAAGGAAGCAGATTTTACAGTAAATCAAAATGATCAGAATATACATTGTTGAGGAGCTAGTGAAATAGAACACAAGGCCCCTGGTGCTGAGGAATACTTTGATTTTTCATGTCATATTAAACCATGGTTTGTTTAACCATTGTCAAAACAGCCTAGTTCAAGCAACACTAAATCATTTAATGGCTATGTCCATTCATCACCCTAAGCCAGTGTTGTTCAACCTCAGCAACTTTAAGATGCATGGACCTCAACTCCTGGCTGGCTGGGGAATTCTGGGAGTTGAAGTCCACACATCTTAAAGTTGCTGAGGTTGAGAAACACTGCCCTAAGCCAAAAGACTAGCAAACTACATTGTGGGTTAGGGTCATGCTTGAACTGAGTCGAAAGCTTATAAACTGGAGTTTTCTCCAGTCTTGGCATAATCTTCCCTAGCAACAGAGCTGTGGCAATGAGGATTTCTCCACTGGATTAACCTATTATCCATTGGATGGTGCTGTTCCCAAACTGTCTCTTGATAGCTCTTTGGCCTGGTGTTTTACTGAATGCAAAGATTATGCAAGCTTTGGTAGTTGTGACGGCATATTTACCTTCTCTTTCTCTCCCTACCCATTTCCTTCGGTGTCAGGCCTGTTTACGTGCCCCCATTTTAAGTTGCATAGAGAGCTTTATCAAAATGTGGGTGGGAAAATCTGTGGAGTATGTAGCACACAAATGTACATATAAATAAATGTGGTGTGTGATCACGAAAAAGCTAGGCAGAGCTGGACTGAACCTTGAAAAAGCTAAGTAGGGCAGGTCATGGTTAGTACCTGCATGGGAGATCACTGGGACATCCCAGGGCTGTAGGTTAAACTGAGATGTCAGAAAAGCATCAGGGAAAAAGAACTATTGTTGCAAAAATATATATTTTGAATAAAATATATAATGAAAGACTTCAAGGAAGCAGATTTTACAGTAAATCAAAATGATCAGAATATACATTGTCGAGGAGCTAGTGATGGGTGGGGGAGAAATTTAATAAATAAATAAAAATAAATAAATATGTCACAGATGTCTCTGTGTAGTTGCTAAGAGTTGAATTTGACCTGAGGGAATGTTTATCTTTACTTGGAGTTTGTTTTTAATGTTAGAAAGTAGATAGATATAGATTAAATGACTAGGTCTTGTCCTCTCCAGGGCATAAAAAGTAGGTCACAGAGCCTCCATACTTTTGCGGTGCTTGCTGAAATACGCAGCATTTACGGCTCAGAAGCTTTGCTCACAGGAAGGTTGTATGCATGGTAGAGCTAATCAGTGGGGCATGTGACCCCACAGTATGTTCAGACAACGGGGCTTGTATTGTTATCAACACCTGCTTTTCTAGCAGTGAGGTGTTACCTTTACAAAATTGTGACCTGTGAACTCCATGTAGTGGGAAGAGGTGTGTGTTAAACACCTTGCTTGTCAGGTTGTAAATGTTGGAGCCATGGAAGGATCCAGATTCAAAAGAGAAAAGGTGATTTAGAGCACATGTGAATGTGCACATCACACACCTGGCAACACCTCCTTAAATCCCATGTGTCTTGCTCCTTCACAAGCCCAGGGAAAAATGCTGCTGCTTTTAGAAGTTGCCAACAGTTGCAACATCAGTGCTCCTGTGTATAAAAAAAGCATCTTTTCTCCTTCAAATCCAGATCATTGCATCTTCCTGATAAACTATCAGTGGGAGTGGGGTGCATTAGTCATTGTGTCCTGCTTGAGGGGCTCCTGGTAGAAATGACACTTTGGGGATAAATGAACTACTGCATTAAGGCTCAGAGCTGCCCCTGGGAGAGTTTCTCGCAGATTGGGATCGGGGTTGTGATCTTGCCAACAGGGTTAGGATCCCAGTGGAGATCAAAGAGAAGAAAGAGAACTAACATCATGGAAATTGCTTCCTTTCTAATCTTTCCCAGGCATGCAACCAGCTTAAATGCCCAAAGCTGCTGTAGCAGGCTAGGGAATACACAGACCTCCAACTGGTTTTGAACAGCTGTTTCCAGCAACATGGAAGATGCTAGCTGTGGTAGTTTAGCAGTATTGGGAGGCATAGGTTCTTCTACCTTGATGCTAAGATACATGCTCCTTGCGTTTCATGGCTGCCCTTTCTCTGCCAAAGTCCTTGACTGACACAGAAAGCACAAGCTAAAACTGCATTTGTGTTATTTAAAAGCTGTGGTGAACCCTGGGCTAATTAGGCAATTGGTGAAACTCCCACGGCAATTTTTGTTACTTGACACTGAATGGTGTGGTCTGTGCAACACAATAGCCTTGCCTCAGGTAGGGTTGGGTAGTTTGTGGTTTCTGTGTTTGGAAGCCCAGCCCTTTCATAGCAGTTTACGGTGAGCCTGACCAACGTGCTCCACGCACACTGTGTGTCCTGCAAAAAGAGCAGTTGTGCTTTCTTAATCCAGGTTTAGGATAAGGGTTTGGAGTGAACCCAGCTAGTGATTCTTGTTCAATTTAACCATGTTTGGAGTAGAAAGATGGGGCAAATATTTTGCAAGGCTAGTGTTTTTGTGGCTTGGTGCATCTTAAGCCTTAGGATCTGGAGGAAGAGAACCATCCTCAAATCTAACTTGATTGAAGAACACAGGCATGGTTTGCGTTTTAACCATGATCTGTTGGCTAAGCACAAACTGCTGGATTTGCCCCTTATGCTAAGCCGCAAACTTATACCCACATTGGCTTGGTGCACACAATGAGCTACACCAGAATCAATTCATTAACTATGGCTTCATGAGTTGAGTAAATGTGGCCTGCGTTTACCCTCAACAGCCAAATTCTCCTTCGTATGTTTGGTTTGTCTTGGGCTGTCTCTGTCCTTGCACACAAACTTTCTAAACTGAAGCATTTGCTTTCTAACTGTGGCTAAAGGAAATGGGAAGCAGGGACGTTCTATCTGCTCTGCAGAGGTCCTCCTTGCCTGTAACTGTTTGCATTCAACTGGGGTCAAAGGTTTGCCATCCAATAAATATTAGCATTTGTGGGATCAAACTATTTAGCCATTTTGGCAGTGTTGACATTCCTACTAGCTGACTCTGAGAAGCCCACAAACAGAGTATGAAAATAATGTGTCATTTGTGGCGACCTTCTGACTGATCTGCTGCCCTAGTTCAGGTCTCTATGGGCAGGCCCTTTCAGTGTCAGAAGTGATTTGCCAGACTTTCTTCCTAGGCTTGAGAGAGAATGACTGGCCCAAAGTCACCTAGGCGGGTTTCACGCCTAAGGCAGGCATTAAAACCAAATTGACTTTCAATACTACTGGGCTAACTGCTCTTAATTCATCTCAATTGCCCTGGGCTCTTATTTATGATGTCTTTTCAATGAAGATTTAGCCTTTTCAGTACAGTGCCTGATAGATTGCAGGTTTGGAATGGAGTGGAAATGAAATTGAGGAGTAAAACAAGCAGACAGAAGCAAATCACTGATCATGATGCATATGAAGATATCCATCTTGAGACTTTCACAAGATGGATGGACTCTTTCCATAAGCTTTGGTTGGGGGACATAAAGTGGCCCTGCCTGATGCAAGCATTTAAGACACTGTTGTCCAAACTTGGCCACTTTAAGATGAGTGGACTTCAACTCCCAGAATTCCCCAGCCAGCCAACACTGGTTTAAGATAAAGGCAATTGGCATACTGTAAAAACCAAAAGAAAGGAAAAAAAAGACTTTCCTCTTCTTTCTTTTTTTTTTTTTTAATTTGCTCTAGGTATATCTGGGAAAAGTCAGCTTCTCTTTGCACTGGTGTTCACTACTCGATACCTGGATCTCTTCACTTCATTCATTTCACTTTATAACACTTCTATGAAGGTACAGTATACTGAATAAGTAAGAGGGCTACAAACCATTAATTACATCTGGGGTCTGCAGCCGTATGCATTTCATGACTAGAAGATTTTTCCAGTTTGGACAGGAATAAATTGCTGGCGAAAGTTATTAAAAGCTTCTTGATTCTGTTCTAAGTGCTGCAGCTTGGCTTGGAACCAAGTTCCACACTTCGATGTGGTGAGTTGTGTTATTGCCATGAATATTGGCAACAATATTTAATGTTCCAATTCAAAGCATTCATCTTACAAGGTGTCTGCCAAAGCAGAGTATCAAAACTGTATTTGATACTCCTTAAGCACATTTTACTTTTGGAGGACCATCAGGCCTGCCTTAGATTAGAGACTGTGTGTCCACGTCTCCATCTAGCGGCAGTAGTATAAATTTCTTGGCATTGTGTTGGTATTTGCAAATCTTGTCCTCATTCAAAGCCTTGTCTGGAACTGAACAACAAAGAAGGCACTGAAGTTCCAAGGAAGAGAACTGAATCTCCTTCTTCTTTTGAATGACCTCCATAAATCTCTTAACTTCTGTTTGGAGGTAGGAACATGTTGACCTTGAAATGGTTTAGCCAGCTCTGGGTCTGAATAGTATTGGACCATTAGTCAAAAATGCTTTAAAAGCCTGGTTTGGGGAATAATATGAGAATGCTTAAAGCTGCAGAGGTGCTGTACTTAAAGAAATATAGATCTCTATCCCTGGTCAGAAGCCCACATAAAATATCAAGCACCTTAGATCAAGCTCGTATATTTGTAGGACTGAGCGCTTATCTGTATTTGTTGATTCATTTATCTCACAACAGTTTAAATTCCCTGTCTGGTTGGAGAACTAATGGTCATAGTTCAGAGAAGATTAAAACTGGAAAAACAGTTGAGATATATGTTTTCAGCCCTCTGAATAATGGTTATCTTCAATTTTCTTTTAACCTTCTAAAATCCAGCCATATAATTCATGGAGTTTAGTCTTTGGAAAATAATTTCAAACAAACTGCAAAGCTTTCTACTCTAAATGCATTACCTGGAAATTTAATTTTTAGGAAGGCATTTGTGTAGCTGTGCTTAGTCACAGACTCTACCCTGGACACTGATATCCAGGAGATCTGGGAAGCGTCAGGTTAGAGGAGAGTCTCAAAACCCTGTGGTCAACAGAATTGTTGCTAGTACACCCTTAGAGGGTGCCAGGTTAGAAAAGGTGACTGTCCTAAATTCTGGTTCCAACATTACTGACATGATCTTGAAAAAGCCATTGAAATTTTCTTGTTTTTCCCCACATTAATCGTGTCAGCATCTAGTATTTTCAACAAGTTTATAACAAAATCCAGTTTTGTTAGAAGTGCCTATAACCTGGGCTGCAATGCTTATTTCAGTGAAAATCTTATTACTGGAAAAGCATCTTGGTTGATCAGAAAGCAGATTTAGGAAGCTAAATATCTATAAAAGCTGCAGAGAGCAAGTTCCCTTTCAAAAGTGAATCTTCTAAGATGGTCTGCCTGCCATCCAGAAGGGACAGTCTTGCTTCAGAAGTATTGCTGGTGGTTCAGTTATGAAAAAATACTCAATAGACATGTTTTGGTCTGCAACATTTATTATGATGGTTTCTAAAGAGTTTTCATTTCTTTGTTAATTAAGATATGATGTATCTTGGAGTCATGGAAGGTTGCAGAGAAAACCCCTGTATTCGGGATCTGCAGCATCAGAGATGGGCTTGGTTTCAAGCCACCAGATTTTGAGTCCAACTGGTTTCAGTCTGTCAGTCAATGAGTTGCTATGGAAAAAAGGTGTTTTTTGGGGGGGGGCATCTCTTTATATTCTAGATAACTTTCACCATAATATAAAGAGTGTGTCTTCAGACAAAAATGTAAACTTGTGAGGTAGACAGTGTGGCAAACTGATGTCTGTTACTGAGCAACTCAGGGAGGGAACCTCACTCAGACAATGCACAAAGGTTCCTTTTTACATATGTAAAATGCTTTTCCTGAAGGTTTGAAGCTGATTAGAAGCTTGATAACACATCTGGATCTCTCCCTTTCAGCTAATCTACATTGCTTGCTCATATGCTACAGTCTATCTGATCTACATGAAATTTAAGGCTACCTATGATGGGAATCATGATACGTTCAGAGTCGAGTTTCTTGTGGTTCCGGTTGGTGGACTCTCTTTTCTGGTCAATCATGACTTCTCCCCTCTAGAGGTGAGTCCAAAACATTTGTGTTTTGAAGCAGTGCAGGTATCACCAAGACAACAGTACACTGGTTAATCTTTTAAAACAACAACAAAGCGAGTAGAAGACAATGAAGGGAGACTTTTGTGGGTCCTTCCTTCCTTTCTTGAGGGTACGGAGAGGTAGAAATATATTTCATTTTCAGTGATGAGCAAAACAGATGATTTACATCATACAGATGGGCAGATGACCCCATAAAAAGGAAAAGTTGAAGAGTTTTGACACCTTATCATCGATACAGTGAAAAGCACTGTACTGGCAGCTTTACAGCCAACCCACAAACACAATAGTTATCTATAAATGACAGGTTAATGTAAACATGTTTTCTATACATAAAGCTTTTTTTTTTAAAAAATCTTGCACAGCCAATATAATGTTTTCTGCCTGCAGGGTTGTAAAAGGGAAAAAGGGATGGGGAAAGAATAATAGGGGGAAAGTGAAGTCACACACACACACACTCCCCATACTCTCAGAGTTGGTGAATTGAAATGCAAGCCGTCCAGGGAGGGGAGGACTCCCAGCAGAGCTGGTGGGAACAGTGGAACAGCTCACCTTCCTTGCGGGTGGCCCAGGCAAATAAACTGGTAAGCTCACAGGCTAAGGATAGCCCAGTGTAATCCAAAGCAATGGAAAAAATGTGCTTGGTCACTGTGTATAAATTCAGGCCAGGTTCATGCAGCCTATTGACCCATAATATGGGTTGTTTGCTTTGTCTGACGTGTGTGGTATGAACACTGTGGGCGTTGCTAAATCATGGCTTATGCATTAGCCTGATGTGTGAGCCCAGCTGTTTGTAATCTAGTTAGCAGACCCCTATTAAAACATGCTATGGTTTAGCCCCATATATGAACCCAAAGTTTTTGCCCCGCACAGCAGAGGCGGTCGAGACAAGCTTATTGTCCTCTTGAATTTAAGCCTGGGAACAGTGAGAAGTAGCAGGTTTGCATCATGGCCTGAAGGAAGGGTTGGATGTAGTCGTAGAACCCCCTTGTAGTCAGCTGGGGTTCAGTTGGGGTGGTGGTGTTGCTCATTCGAGCTGTATAGTTCAACTGAATTCAAGGGAACTTGCTCCCCACTTACATACAGGATTGCTGCTTTAGTTATTCAGATGCCCAGTTCCTTAAACAAATATTGGGAAAGTAAATTCTGTCTTTTGTCCTTCATTTTCTCTCAAGTTCTTCAGCCAGCATTTGAGAAGTGATTGCCGCCATCTGGAGGACTGAACAAGATCTACTATTTTAAAAATCATTTTAGCTTGAAAAAGGGGGCATGACTTCGATGCATCTTACGTTCCAACTGATCTGCGCTATGCATAAGATCAGTCATCTAGAGCAGTGTTTCTCCACCTCAGCAGCTTTAAGATGTATGCCCTTCAACTCCCAGCATTCCCCAGCCAGCATGCTGTATGCTGCAGTATGAGTGTAAAGCTTTCAGAGGATGTGTTTGCCAATGCTGGGCAATGCTGCTAACCTTGATGCCATCCTGGTATATGAACTTCACGTTCTACCCTTCTTAGAAATAGTTGTACTGGCTGGGGGATTCTGGGACTTGATTGACATATCTGACAGATACCCGGATTGAGGAAGAATGCATTACACAGCTCTTTCTCTCCTCTATTTCTCATTTGGGTATTTTTTGCTGCATTTTGATGTGTATTGGGTTTTTCCAACATTGTTTTCAAGAGGTAGATGGAGAATTCTTGAGAGTATGACTTGAACATCTTTGTCTTATTCTTCCAGATCTTGTGGACTTTCTCCATCTACTTGGAGTCTGTTGCGATTCTTCCCCAACTTTTTATGATCAGTAAAACTGGGGAAGCAGAGACCATCACTACTCACTATCTTTTCTTTCTGGGCCTCTACCGTGCCTTGTACCTTATCAACTGGATTTGGCGTTACTATTTTGAGGGATTCTTTGACCTCATAGCCGTGGTGGCTGGGGTGGTCCAGACTATTTTGTACTGTGACTTCTTCTATTTGTACGTTACAAAAGGTAAGAGACACATGGTAACTCACGTTACGACTTGTCATGCAGCATCTTTCCTCAACTTGATGGCCTGTGGTTGTGTTGGACTCCAGCTCCCATCATTCCCCATGGCTGCAGATGCTGGGAGGTATAGTCCTGCTCAGCTACAGGGCACCAGGATGGAAAAGGAGAATCTAGATTCCTACAGTATGTTTCCATGGTACCTTATATAGGTTACACTAAAGCTTCATCAAAGCAAGAGTGGGTGTGGATCTTTCTAGATCTCATTTTCAGGAAATGTAATAAGCTATAGGGTCCCCCCGCCAACTTCTCCTCCTGTATCTCTCTGCAGCTTCATAGAATATGGTCCTTCTATGACAAAACATTGTTTCTGAGCTCTGCATTTTTTAAAAAAGCCCATATTAACCACAAATAAGTAAGTCAATGTCATTGATCAGGACCATGAAATAGTTGGGGAAAATGTTGGAAGATATTTTGAATGGCATATTTCTTTCCTTGTCTGGTTCATTTGGTGTATGCTCCCTCTGCAAGCGACTCTAGATTTTTAATATAATACATTTTTATGTATGCTAAGCTTGGATTAAAGTAGCTTGAAAATGGGGTAGGCTGTGAGAGACCTTTGCTGGCACTTCCCTTAGTGACCTTGGGCTGGTCACTCTCTTTCAACCTTGCTACCCTCCAGGTCTGTTAGGTTGATGGACTGGGAGAATCATGTCTCCGTAAGTTTAGTATCCTAGGCAATTGGAATAGTTTCCCTGTTTCCCTCAACACATTTTTGAAATGGATTGCAGCCACAGAAGGACCTGTACGTTTCCTATAGAAAGGGATGGAGTGGGTACAGTTATTTTTTAGAAGTACAGTACCTGGGCCTAAATTACCCCCTTTGCAAATGATGAGAACGCATTAAAATGCTTCCCTGTCTTGAAAATGTGGCAGTGGAACCGGTTCTTCCAGTTGGGTGGCTTCGGTTGCCATTCCCTTGCCCATTTAATTCCACTGATTATAGCAATAAATATATTGTGGGCATCGCTATATTTTAAAAAGTGAAGGAAATTAGACACCTCAAACCATCTTTGCTTTACAAAATAGAGCAGTGTTCCTGAACAAAAGATTTGGGTTGAGATCCAGGCACACCAGGGTTGGCCAGTTTTAGAGAACTGAAGAAATCCCAACAAGGAGTAGATCTGATTTTTGGTGACAGTCTCTCTCATCCTGCAAGCAGGAATACATGTGCTCACCTCTCATCATGTCAACATAGTTGTCCTGTGTCATAAGCAAGGCTTTGAGATAGTGACTGGTTCAAGATTACCCATGGATCTCTGTGGCTGAGTTGGAATTTCTCCTTGTGCCTAAGCAGGAACTATTTCATTTCTAATCTAATGCTTGGTGAATCCTATAAATCTGGGCTCTTGAAAAAAGAAAAAGAGCTAATATGTGTACTGTAGGGAAAACTTGAAAAAGAACTCCATGGGCTGTCTCTTTTTCATGGGGAGTGTTGGGTAGTAACTGGATGCTATTTCTGTATTAAATTAGTTCAGTGTTTCTCAACCTTGGCAACTTGAAGATGTGTGGACTTCAAGCTGCCAAGGTTGAGAAACATTGAATTAGCTAATAGTAAATTAAATTGGCTAATATTATTTCTGTTTTAAACTCCATGTTTTCAATGGTCCCTTCCCTTCCCTTCCAAGGACCCTCCATTTTTTCACCGACTATAGTTCCCCTCCCCCATTCCTTCCAACCAGGTTGTGGTTTGTGATTGCCGGGAGTCAGAAATAAATACAACATGCTGTTTTGTTACACGGAAGAAAATATAGGTGCCTCCTATGGCTGCCGATGTTGGAAAGGCTTTCTGAAACCTGCTTTGTGGGGTTTCCCTACCTTGTTTCTATTCCGGCTTTGTGAGGCAAGCACAGGCCACAACTTACCGGTCCTAAAAGACATATCAAGTTACACTTTGCTTCAAATCAGGAAAAAAATAAAAGTTGTGAAAAAAAGGAGGGGATATGCAACTTCAGAGATACTCAGGGCTCCAACCTAGTGTCTAATATCTCTTTCAGAATTACCATTATTAACAGGTAGTCATCATTTAGTGCCTCATTTAGCGACCATTCACAATTACAATAGTAATGAAAAGGTAACTTTTGACCCATCCTCACATTGATAACTTTCTCAGGTCTGAAGGAAGATCGTAAGCACCGTCACGGTTTCGCTTAGCGGTTGCTTCGCTTAGCGACTGAGTTGCCAGTCTCAGTTGTGGTTGCTAAATGAGGACTTGTAATTTTTATTGAACTCTCCACCCCTTCCATTTCCTTCTGTCTTCTCTGCATGTCTTACAGTGGAGACCTTTGTTTGTTGGCAATGAAAAATGTAAAGGAATTCCCCAGTTGTTGTCCTGTGTGAACAGCAGCAGTGCTTTGGATCGGATGCCTGTGTGAATTGACCTTGTTTCCCTCTTTCAGTACTCAAAGGGAAGAAGCTCAGTTTGCCAGCATAAGTGCCAAGGGTAGTCATCCCCATCTGTCATCTTGGATGCGTAGACAGAACAATCCTGACCTTCAAGAGGTTGAAGATGCTCGAATAGATGGCCTCCCCCTCTTCTTGCAGAGAGTCCTCCGTGGGCTCTGTAGGACCAGAGAACCAGCTGACTTCTGTTTGAGGCATCTTGCCTTTTCTCTTTTTTTATTACTATGTATAAAGATTTTTTACCTGAGAGAAACTTAATACCGTGTGGATTTAATTCAGTGTGTAGTTTCAATTGGAATAGTTCCAAAAACAGTGAGGTTTTTTTGGGGGGGTGGGGTTCTTGGTGATCAGGAATAAGTGCAAACACTTATTTTCAAAAGATTCTCTTTAAATTGCTGAGTTATTTTGACGCGCCCAGGCCCATGCTGACTGTTGGATGGTAACTGTTCTTTCCTGTTTGATTTCAAATTTCATTCCGCTGTATTTATTTTCCTCCTTTCCCCCCAAATGTTGAGAGTTTTGTGTCGGCTGGAATCAAACTACAAATGTCAGAAAAGTCTCATGGAAAAGATGTCACCGTTTCACAAATGCCTCGAATCGCTCGTTTTCCTCCTCTTTCCACAAAGGGATGTTTCTATAGTGTCTGCTGATGAATACTTTCCTCTACCTCTGTTCACCTCCTGATGACATTCGCTTAAGACTATTTGGTGCCAATGCAGATTTTTTTCTCTCCAATGTAGTGGTTTAGCAGCAATCATTCCTGTTTCCACGTGCCCCATTCAGACTAAAATCGTTCCACATTTTTTGGAGGTTTTTCTTTTCCTACTCATAGCAGCGTTAACACTACCCCTGCACTTGTCCAGTTGAAGTAATCTATAGGTGGCAATTTTTAACGATGTCTCCGACTTTTTTAATACAGAATCCTTTTACAAGTAATGTCTTTGTTTAGCTTTCCGGCAATTTTAGATGTGCCAGTTTTGGACAGTTAATTGTCACTTTTATAGACTTGTTCCTGAATCAGCAGCACCAAGTCCTGTTCTCTAGCTTCCCTTTTTTACTGAGCTGTTGCATGATTTATCCTGTGTTACCATCCTAAATAAACATTTTATGAAGTGGTTCTCCATTGTGGTGTCCTCAAATGATCCCGCTGCTGCAGTTGATCTCCGTGAATTGCTGTGACTTGGAAGCGTTCAAATCAGCGCTCAGTTACATCTTGGCTATACAGTAAAGGCACCGTCCCGCCTCATTTATCTGCAAAATAGGTGTAGCTTTCAAATTGTAAAGTGTTGGCAGTATTTTTTTTTTTTTAATCACAATAGCTGCAAAGAAAACGTTAGAACGTACTGAAGTGATATTGAGAGAGTTGGCCCTAGGATGGTTGGAGCCCAAGGTTCTTTCGAAATGCGGAAGCCGCTGAGTCTTCCTCCTGGATCTGTGTGGTTGCCTACCTGACAAATAGACTAAAGAAAAAGAACAAATAATTGTTCTTTTGCAGCGAGTTGAGGCCTTTGGATCATTTGCATAAGTCACCTCAATTAGTTTCAGATGAAGTGCTTCCTGGTGCTTCCAGCACCACCTCCCATCACCTAAGCCTTTTGTAAATTGAAGGAAGCAATTATTGGTGGGTCGAAGCAATGAAAGAAGTGGGCGAAAAGAGCAGGAACTTCACAGGAAAAATATCTATCTGAAATTGCAAGAGGGTCAGTCATCTATTGACTGGAGAAAAGCAGCACCTCAATTCAAACCTTTTATTTTGTGTATGTATAATTTTCTGTTCCAAATATATATTTTTTTTCTCACTCTATTGCTGTGTCTTATTCATGAAATGCATGGTTTGGGGGAGAAGTTCCTAGCAAGGACGGTACCTCATTTTGTAAGGCAAAGGAGGAATCAGGCAAGAAGCAGAAGTTCTTTGACAGCAGCTGAGTCTGTTGCGGCTTTTAATGGTTTCTATGAATCTTCGTTATGATAGTATCACAGTGTTGTGCCTTTTCAGAAACCTGTTTTGCTTTCATGAATGATGTGTGGACTTCAACTCCCAGAAATAAATTATTTCCATAACACTCTGCTAAGCCCAGATAGACGTGGTTTGGTTCAGCGTGTATATAAATCCACCTCTTAAGATTTGAAGGCTAGACGCAACCAATAATTTAGTCCATCAGCAACACTTAAGGAAACCACAGCTTGATTTGTAACCTGCCCAGAGTCTCGGAGTGGGTGGCCATAATAATAAAATGTATGAATCAGGGTGCTTTGTTCTGCAGTTGATAGAACTTGGTTTTGTGGTGGTATATATGTTGTAGGGTCAGTTCTTGGAAGCTGGGCTGGGACATCTTAAAGCTACCAGGAGGTAAGATACTCAATACCACACGTTTCAAAGGCTTTCAAAGTATGAAAGATGCGAAACCCCGTCCCTGATTTTTTCTCCCTTTAAACTAACCACCTCCCCATTTGAAGAGCTACATTTCAAGCCGCCTTGTATTCAAGCCACATTCCTTCAGAGAACTACGGAAAACTGAGTTCCCCCTTCCCTTAGATAAACTACACAAATAAAAATACTTATTTGGCCAAATCACGGTAGCACTGCACCTGATGGGAGTTTTGTCCATGAAAACTTCTATGCCCTAAATCTCTTTTTTCCAAACTTGGCAACTTTAAGAGAATTCTGAGAGTCAAAGTCCACATCTCTTAAAGTTGCCAAGTTTGAAAGACAAAAAAAAATGCCCTAAATGCATTTGTTAACTTTTAGGTACCGCATTATTTTTCTAAACCACTGGGGGCAATCTCTTAAAACTCGGAGCGGACGGAAAACATCCTGCAGAGGTTTGGGATGCGTGTTAAAGAGCCTCATTTTGTTCTCCAAGCGGATTAAACAAGGCGCTACCGTACCCCCACTGCAGGGTTCTCAAAGCAATTCCCCGGGAAGCGGTTCTGCCTTAACAGACGAGCAACTCAGCTCGACCGCAGCCCCTTCTCGGGTGCGAGGGGACTCCCTTTGCAAAGCAGGCTGCCCAGCCTACTCCTACTCGCGGCGTTTGTAACGCGCAGCTGGAATCCCGAGCGACGCGGCCGGCCGGCGTCCCACGGAATCCGAACGAAACCGAAACTGTGGCGTGCCTGGAGCTCTCTTGAGTCATACTTCCCTCTTTAGCTCGAAAGACTGCCTCCCCCTGCTCCGGTCTGCGCATGCTCCTTTCTTTCAATCCCCGCTCCGTCAAGCCGCCGAAAGGGCAGCGGAGGGCTTTGCGCATGCGCCCCTTCCGGAGAGGCTACCTGACAGCAAGAACACTCGGCCCGGGGATTCTGGAGTGACGTCACTGCCTTCTGACGCCGAGCGGCGCGAGGCGACCTGCTTTTTTGCGGGGAAGGTGCAAAGCCGGGAAGGTGGGTTGCAAACGCTGGGGCCGGGGGGGGGCGCTGGGAATAAGGAGGGGAGGCCGCTTGCAAGGGCCTGGGCTGGGGAGCGGACTTGCCTGGGGGGGCAAAGCTCGGGGCTGCCGGGGGGAGAGATTTGCAAGGGGTCGAGGTGGGGGGGCATGGGGG